AATGCGTTAAGCAATAGCCTTCATACTTTCGTATATTTATACAAAGTCAGCTTATTGCCCCCACAATCTGGGTCATCATTTCACCTACCTTTGAAAGGATGGAAGGCTGAGTCAACCTTGAGCCTGGTGAGATTCGAACTTACAGTAATTGCAGACAGCTGGTATTAATCACAATGCTTTTAGTCTGCTGAGCCACCAGGCCTTAACATTGTCTGTTAAGACCAACAGTGTTGTCCCACTATGGCTTCTTTGAAACTCTTGAGGGCCAGGTAAACCACCCTGAGCTCCAGCCAATTGATCCTGTGCAACAAATCTGCCTTTGTCCACCGGCCCTGCGCAATCTGTGACTGGCAGTGTGCCCCCCCAGCCATAAAGGCTGGCGTCCGTCATGATGGTCAGATGGTCAGATGGTCTAGTTCAGGGGTGAGCAAATGTGGCTCTTTTACAACCTTTGGACTTCAACTCCCAGAATTCCTGAGACAGCTTGGCTGTCTCAGGAATTCTGGGAGTTGAAGTCCACTGGTTGTAAAAGAGTCACAATTGCCCATCCCTGGTCTAATTCTTTGAAGAGGCACCCTTTTGCAAGAGCCTGTGATGTCCACCACCGAAAGGACTGCAGTACCTGTAGAGGAACTCTTACCCTGTCCTGGGAATTGCTCCTGCTGGATCGTTGGTAAGGCAGGAGAAACCACTGCAGCGCCCTGGCGTGAATTCGTACCCATGGAACAATGGCAATGCACAACATCATCTTCCCCAGGAGCTGCGAAAGGTATATGAGTGGTATCGTGTCCATGGCCATGATGCAGCTTGCTAACTGTTATAAGCTGTCCTTTCTCTCCAGGGATAGAGAGACTACGCATACAGATGTATCTATAATGGCTCCCAAATGGAGAAATCTGGTGGTGGGATGAAAATGGCTCTTCTTGTTGTTTATCGAAAAGCCATGTTTTTGTAGAACCTGGATTGTGATCCGAAGATCTGCTTCTGCCTGAGGACTGAATCAGAATGTCGTCCAGGTATCATTGGACTCTGACTGGCACGGATCGAAGGCTGCTAAGGCTGCCAATATCTTTGTGAAGGCTCGTGGCGCTGAAGACAGGCCAAATGGCATTGCCTTGTATTGGTAATGCTTTTCCGCATATGAGAAACAGAGGAACTGTCTGTGAGCAGGTCTGATGGGTATATGGAGATATGCCTCTGTGAGGTCAATGGAGGTGAGGAAATCGTCCTGGCGTATGCTTCCCAGAATTGATTTGAGTGACTGCATCCTGAAGCGTTTGTACTCCAGACACATATTGAGACATTTGATATCTAAAATCGCTCTGCATCCCTCGGAGCTCTTTTGAACCAAGAACAGTATTGAGTAGAAACCCAGTCCCCGTTCCTCCTGCGGGACAGGATGAATTGCCTGGATTTCCAGCAGGTGTTGAATCGCTGAGTTCATAAGGCTTTGTTTGGCTGCATTCCTGGAGTCAGGGCAGCTGATTAAAAAACTTGGGGGGGGGGTGGAGAGGAATTCTAGAGCCAAACTTGAGTGTATTGTGCTGACTACCCACCTGTCTGAGGTGGTGGCCTCCCACTGATGGTAGTGGAGGCTGAGCCGACTGCCCAGATGCGTGACAGTCCTGCAGTCATTTTGAATGATGATATGGGCGATTTCCTGCTCTGTGAAAGGGCCGCTTGCTCTGAAACTGTTGGCGGCCCCGGAACTCCGATCTCTCCATCTGTCTCTCCTGTCTGCCTGAATAAGATCACTGGAACTGTTGGAATTCGCCTCCCAACTCTGGAGCACGAAAGAATTGCCTCTTAAAATAAGGAGAGTACCTCCTGTCCCCCCTCCAAAAAAGGGAGGGCATGGCTTTGCCCCTGCCCTTGGTCTCCACCAGAATGGATTCCAGAGCCTCTCCAAACAAGTCATTGCCTGTGAAAGGGGCAGAAGCCAACTTCCACTTGTTTTTATCGGGCCACCTGCCAATGTTTAAGCCATAGCAAATGACAGGCTGTTACTGAAGAGGCCAGTGATCTGGATGTGAACTTTGCCACATTCAAGATGGCATCCGCTGAAAACTCAGCTGCAGCTGAGTTATTTATATCCTGATGAATTCTCACATCTTCAGGGGGGATCCTATCCTGTAACTGGCAAAGCCAGAGCAAGGAAGCCCTATTGAAGAAGGAAGCTGATGTGGCAGCCTTAATAGCCCAGGCAGCTGCCTGGTGGGCCTTCCTCAAGGATCCTTCAGCCTTTTTGTCCTCTGCGTTCAGACAATCCATTGCCTCTGCAGGCAAGAATGCCACTGAAGTCATGACAGCCACTGGTTTGTCAACAGCTGCAGACAGATCTGAAGCTACATTGTAAAGCCATTTTTCAGCTATAGACTGAGGCATGCCCGCTCCAGGATTGGTCCACTGCCTTTGAACTACATCCAGAAATAACTTGGGTGAAGGAATCACCTCGGTTTCCACAGTAGGTTCAGAAAAGAGCAAATGACCGGAATCCCCCGGGCTCTGGGTAGATACAGAAGCCTGGTCAGGATCCAAGTTAGTGATAGCCTTGGCCTTATGTAGCAATGATTTAAATAAATCTGGCTTAAAAAGACCTGTAAAAGGCACCTGAAAGGTTCTGGAATTCCTCTTCTCAGCCGAGGAGTCTCCACTCCTTATAGAAGGAGCTAGAAGTAAGCTCACGAGGATCCAACCACTCCTCCTAAAGGATAGGTGGTGCTTGCTGATGGCGGTAAGAAGAACCCCCTTGAGAAGGGAAATTCCTCTGCTGCAAGCCTGTAGCTTTTCCCTGCGTAATAGCTTAGAAAATTATCTGTTGTAACTATTCAGGAAACTCTGCCACAGCTTCCGCCACTGGGTGGAGCCCTGCTGCAGTGGGAGTAAATGAGGCAGCTGGCCTGGCTCTTGCAGGAGGAATAAGCTCCTCTGGCAGGGCTTGCAATAGAAAAGGCTTCAGCCCTATCCAAAACCTCTCCTAAAGTTTGATAACATGCCTCACCAGTGCTAGCTGGTGACCATTGTCTGCAAGAGGCAGTTTGCAAAGGCTCTGGATCATTAGCAGGAGCCAATGGCCTTTCTTCCTTGAGGGTGAGAAGCCGCTGCCTCTCCCATAGGAGAGCCTTCTGGATCCAGGCTTTTCTTAGCCTTACAGATCTTAGCCAGCTCTTTCTCTAATGCCTTTTGGCATCGTTCTGCGTCCTTATCCGCCATCTTGGAGCCTCTGCCACTCCTAGAAGCAGTTGCATGACTTATAGTTGTGGCTCCCCTTGCTGCAGCTCTCTGTGCAGATGGGCTCAGGCTTAGAGCCGGAAAAGCCCCAGGGGAAGCTCTCTTTCTGCCCGTATCAGGCTGCTGGCTGGTGGAGTGCACACGAGACGCCATCTTCCACCTTAAATAGAGGCAGGTGGACCCGCAATGGGTAACTGCTGCCGCAGCTCAATTCGTACTCCCTGTGCTACCACCACTTACCAGAATGCCTCAGATGCCACTGGGCAGTGACTGAGTCCCCCTTCCGCCTTCCAGGCAGGAATGCCCGGGCCTCCGCTCGCCAAGGAGCCAGATGCTATTTACCGGCCCTTACCACTAACCACGACTGGCTGGGACCTCAATTGATCAAAGCCAGCAAGGGAGACAGCTGATCGGCAGACAAAAAAGCTTCCCGATCGCTGGAGTGATCCACAATTAAAGAAACAATGTTTTGTTACGCTCAAGAGTTGGAGAATCCCAGCCAAAGGCGCAGCTCTCTCCAATACATCTCTTCTGCATGAAGACTGAGCCGAACTGGGGAATCACCAGGCAAGGAGGGAGTGACCAGAGATGCAAATAAGATCATGTGCTCAGTCTTCATGTAGAAGATAGAGCTACTACCCATTCCTAGATGCTCTCTTCCAGCTCTAGGGAGAAGAGTAAGGTTTTACACTTAGGCAAGAAAAACCAAATGTGCAGGTAGTAGTAGTACCTGGCTCAACAGCAGTAACTGTGAGAGGGATCCAGGGGTCCTAGTGGACAGTCACTTAAATATGAGTCAGCCATGTGTAGCTGATAAAAATGCCAATTCAGTTCTGGGCTGCATCAACAGAGGAATAGAATCAATATCACATTATATATTTGTACTGCTATATACTGCCACACTTGGAATACTGTATCCAGTTCTGGTCACCATGATACAAAAAAGACATTGTAACTCTAGAAAGAGTGCAGAGAACAGCAAAAAAGATGATCAAGGCACTTATAGCAACTGGCTATGTCTAGTCTAACAAAAACTAGGGGTGCCATGACAGCAATCTTCCAATATTTGAGAGCTTGTCACAAAGAAGAGGGGGACAATTTATTCTCCAAAGCAACTGAGAGCAAGACAAGAAGTAACGGATGGAAATTTAGCAAAGAGAGATCCAACCTAAAATTAAGGGGAAATTTCTTGATAGTGAGGATAATCAATCAGCATTTATCTGGAATGGTACAGAATCTCCTGCTTAAGTGGAGGGTTGGACTAGAAGACCTCAAAGATCCCTTCCAACTGTTATTCTGCATTCTGTAAAAAATGTAATAGATTTTAATTTATATATTTAGATTTATAATCATATAATATATGATTACAAGGACAATGGGTACACCATTGCAAGATCTGAAGGGCCAAGTGGGTGACCAATCATCCTAGGGAAGATCTATGTGATCACAACAAGCTGACACTTTCAAAAGTATATAATAGTCTAATCAATAAAATAACATAATATATAGCATTTGCATATAATAATGTTATACAGTATATTATTATCCTTAGATACATGTAACCTAGTAAGTATGTCTTTCTCAACTGCCACAATATATTTATTATCACCTGAAGTACATAATACTTTATACTATTACAGAGATTTTGTATTTCCTCTTTTACCCCACTCTAATCCAACTTTACAGGCCATATTATGAGCAGTTTAATTATATTAGAAAAACCATCACAACTCTCTCTGTCAGAGCATCTTTGAAAAGATGGTCATTACCTGGTCCGATGCAAAATGAGACAATGATTGCAAGAATGCAGACTATACTGAGATATCGAAGCCAGACTGCTTGATCCTGAAAAATACATGATAGCATTAAAAATGAATTATTTTTTGTAAACCTACAGTAATTTATACGGTGTTTTTATTTTATGTTTTATTGTTTGTGTTTTATTCAAATTGTAACTTTTTATTATGTTTGATTTTAACCAGAAAATCATCCAGAATAGATTTTGGGCATTTTTTTTTTTAAATAGCAAATCAAATACAAAGAGATCCTCAGACTGCTTGTAGAAAGCAAGAACATTTGCAGTGATACAAAGACCACTTTGCTGATACCCTATCTTTGGAAATCTGTATGTCATCTAATACATGCTTAGAATAATAAACGCTAGTCATTAATATGTCATGGGTAGAAAATAAATTCCAGCTTTATTACTCAGATTAAAGGAACAATAACAGAAATACTCTCTACAGACTGAGACTAATCAGTGGAAGACATCCAAAAAGAGAGAGGGCAGGCCCTTGCTCTGTGTGCGGCAGCTTTCTAGTTCAATGCCATCCAAGCTCTGTCTCCTCTTGTCAAAATCAGCCAAGGTCATACCTAATCATAGTCTCTGATTACCCAGAACTAAGACTGTTGGATTGCTTAGCATTTCCATCAGAAATGGATTTGGCTGAACCCAAAGTTTTAATTCTAGTTTTCCCCCTTGTTATTCAAGACTGATGGAAGTGCTCTGACATTCAAATGTCATAAGAATATGAAAAAAAAATCAATATTCACTAGCAAGAAGGACAACTCACAGCACCTCACATTTGTCAAGATCTGTACGATCAGGCCAAAGGGCTGTCTTGGGCAGACAGTTATGCAGAGCAGTCCCAGATCTTTGGAAAAGTGGAACAAACATATATGCTTCAAAGCAATTTTCACTACCTCCATAGCTGTGATCCTGAGAGTATGCTTTAATCTTTGAAAATGAGATTTTAATTAAAACTGGAAATTAGGACTGGTGAAGACATAGTTTAAAACCATGGTTTGTCATAATGGTTCTGAAACATTTCCATGTTTTTCAGTTTACTATAAATAAAACTGGGAAGGTATTATTGCAAAAAATATAATGCAGTTAGATATCAGGGGGAGCACTTCATTGTTATGCCTCAGTTTGTTACATTACAAATCCTGTAAACTACAGTAATATTTTTAATGTAAGGTTTGAACTTGCTTCTTAAATACAGTTCACAAAAGAAAATTAGTATTTGTCCATTATTCTAATTCAAGGTTGCACAGAAAAGATCTAATATTTGTTGCATATAAGAATGATTTTTAAAAAAACGTTTAAACCTGATGATTTCACGTATTTAAAAGAAAATAGATCAATTAACATTTACCGACCTGTAGACTCATACACATAGTAAGTATGATGAAGAAGCAAACCATCAAACCAAATCCCCCAATCAAAAGAGGTCTGCGCCCAACTCTTTCAATCACTAAACCCTGAAGAAAAAATATATGGTTAATTATATTACAGAATTGTGGATGGATTCATCCTAAGACCCTAGTAGAACAGAATCATCCTTAGGCAACTCATTAAATTCACAGTATTAAGCTTTTTACAAGGCAAATCAAGAGTAATTTCCATAACTGCTTAACTGCTCTTAAATCAATGTATAAACAGACTGCTTTGAATTTTGGTTTTCTAACTTTATAGGATGCTTTATGTTCTTATCTCAATGTCCTATTCTGTCCTTTTATTCCACCTTTAGCAGAATCTGACTCCTAAAGCTAGTAGGTTTATTATGCACTTGGTACAAAATTTCCAATTCAATGTATAAGAGTTCCAAAGGCTTTGTATACACTTTCATATTCCAACCTCTATTGTTCTGTAATACAGAATATATCACTAACTGCATACTGCAGAGTGGGTGGGACACCATAGGGATTAATGGCTAATAAGGTTGTGCAAAGCTTTGATTTAGAATCAATTTGATCGTATCTGTTTGAATCAAGTCTGAATAACTAGGTGACTTAGTGGCTAAGGCACTGAGCTTGTTGATTAGAAAGGTCAGCAGTTCAGCGATTTGAAATCCTAGTACAGGTCTCCTGCATGAGCAGGGGGTTGGACTGGATGACCTCCAAGATCTCTTCCAACTCTGTTACTGTTATCATTAACGTAATCAATGTGATGCATCAAATCTAACTAGGTACATTATTCAGTAAATTAATGTGCTTTTACACTTTCATGCTTCATCAAAATGAATCAAATTTGTGAATAAAACTGATCTGATTATTTGAATTCAATCCAGCAAAGCTCAGATTCAAATGTACTAAATCAGATCAAAATTCTAATTAAATCTTGGCTACTTTCACATGCTTGCAGTGCTTAAAACCAGCAAGCTTGCAACCAGCAACAGACCTGAAGCAATATCAATTACTGTATTTCTATACTCAAAAAATAAAACTATTTTTAGTTTTTTTTAAAACTATTATACATTTGTTTTTGGTTTTTTTGAACTATAATAATTTTTTTTAAAAAAAATAGATGACCTTTTAAAATTTCTTTTTGCTCCTATATACTCATGACCTCACATTCCATCTTCAACTACATTATTAAATGTATATTAATACATTATTAGAATAGCAATTAGAATAAAAATGTGTTAGTAGCAACATACACCGTAAATATATTTTGTAAGTAGATTTCAATATCTCATGGTATTCAACAATCAGAATGATAAGGGCTAGAGTTGTCAGTGGCAACCTCTCTACATGTAAAGAAGTAAGTGGCATTCTCGACATTCTACAAATCACAGTTTCGTACAAAATATTATGCATATTTCTTTCTCTTAACAGCTTTAAAACAAGGGCTTCAGGCAGTTGTTTGCAAAATGTGGCTTTTTCAGTATTTTCTCTGTAACAAAAAAGTTTGTCTTTAAGAAAAGTATCCTTGAATGGTAGAGGTGAATAAGAAATCTTCAAATAGTATAGGTCAACGTTCCCCAACCTTTCTGGCTCTGCTGACCAGCAGTGATAGTGGAGGGGGGAAGGGGATGGTTTCGCATGTGTGCCCGCTACCTGCATAAATGGAGTTTCACCTGATCCCCTGCCGCTTGAGTAACCCAGTACCCAATGACCCAGTGACCCAATACTGGTCTGTGAACCGGGGGTTGGGGATTTCTGGTATAGGTAACAGTTTTATCTAACCCAAAGTTCAAGTGTAATCCTAAACATTTTTTCTTGGAAGTTCCAATATTCTTCGAAGAGCCATTCCAATTATTTTAACAAGAGATTAAAATGTACATTTCAATTGCAGCCAGGAGTTCTTACACACTTAACATTAGCTGTCTATATTTTAAACATAAATTAGTTGTCATTAATAACTTTCATCTATTTTTTTTTCATTAATATATTATGGAGTACATTTCTTCATGCCACTCATGATTCCAAAAAATTAAATAAATATTGATCTATTCAAAAGAAAGAACACCTAAATTTGTAACAAAACATTAGATACAATCTCGGTTCCTTACCTGATTAACTATTTTCCCCTCAGATTTTCAAAACAAGTAAAATCATTGAGATGGTGAACTATGTCTGTTATTCACTCTAAAGTGTTGTGTATTTATTTATTTATTTACTTACTGTTTGTTTGTTTGTTTGATTGATTGATTTTTATCCTGCCTTTATTACTTTACAAGTAACTCAAGGCAGCAAACATACATAATACTCCTTCCTCCTCCTGTTTTTTTCTCACAGTGACAATCCTGTGTGGTGAGTTGGGCTGAGAGAGCGTGACTGGTCCAAAGTCACCCAGGCAGCTTTTAAGCCTAAGGCAGGATCAGAACTCACAGGCTCCTGGTTTCTAGTGAAGATTTTTATAAGATTCAGTCCTTTTATTTCCTTATTGCCAGTTCAAAACTAAGATGGAAACTGAAAAAGATTTCATTCTAAATTATATACTCCTTATACATTTCTATAGGTTTTCCAATCCACTACATACTTACTGAGAAAAGAGCAGCCAAGATCTCCACAGCTCCTGTGCTTAAGGTAACATATGGTATCATTTCAGGATTTAGGCCAGCTCCTTTGAAAATGTCATTTGTGTAGAACCAAATCTGGAATAGAAGCCAGTTACTGTGTTTCAAAAAAATAATTTGGCCCTATCAAATTCTAAGTTCTACATATATACATACATTTAATGATGGTCTGGAAATTGTCAAAATAGTTCTCCATAACCTCCAGATGCCAAGCCTATGGACATCACAATGTTGAAAACATTTGTCTCTGGGTATATTATTGAAGACAATGTGAAATATTTATCAGATTGCTTCAAAACAGCACCAAAATGAATAGAAACAATACTATTCACTCAAAGCTTGAGTTTTTGTTTTTGTTTTTGTCCATTTTCCAGTGTGAACACATTAATGTTTTCCCACCCCAAAAAAGAGAAAAAAGGATCAGAATAGAGTGGTGAATTCTCTTCTTATACATGATAAAGGACATTTTTGTGGGATGTGAGGAAAGAGTCCATTACCCTTATTTTCATTTAGCTGAACAACCAACAACCAAACAACAAAGAGAAAAAAAGGTAACGTAGGGTAAGTTGTAAGGTTTTTCTGTACCTCAGCTTTCAGCTCCTTGACGCCAGGACAAAAATTAAACTGCTTAAGAAAACCCTTTCTGGATTTCAATCAATTTCATTCATTCATTTCATTCACTTTTGCCAGTGATGGTTGGACTGCATTTGCCCTGACTGGAGCCCTGACTGGAGATCTACTTTCCCAGGGAAAGGGGACTGGGAATTTACTAGGGAAGGGAGTGGAAGGGAAGGGGAAGGAAGAAGAGAAGGGCGTCAAAAACAATTTGAAGAAAATGTTTTGGAACTGAGGGAAGCATGAGCCCAGCACCACTTTAAAGTAGCTGGTGTCTCTTTGTAGTTTTCTGCATGAACCTGAAAAAAGGCACTGCTGCTTTAAGGAATCATATTAAAAGTACAACTACTTTGAATTGCCCTGTGCTCATGGTCCCAGTTTATGAAGCAAATCTTTTGAATGGCTATTTGTTTGTTTAGGAAATTTATTTGCTGCCTATCTCATATCCAACGACTCTAGGCAGCTTACAGCATAAAACATTAAAGCAGAAAGATATTGAAATCAAGTCATAGCACACAGCAGATAAAATCATTGACAATTATAAACCATTAAAACCAGATGGGAAAGGTGGTAGCCGGATCACAAAGGGTGGGGAAGTGCGATGAGAAGTGGTGGCGCAATAGTTAGAAAGCAGTATTGCAGGCTAACTCACTGCTGACTGCCAGGAGTTCAATTCTGACTGGCTCAAGGTTGACTCAGCCTTTCATCCCTCCAAAGGTGGTAAAATGAGGACCCAGATTGTTGGGGGCAATATGCTGACTCGGTAAAACGTTTAGAGAAGGCTGTAAAGCACTATGAAGTGGTATATAAGTCTAAGTGCTATTGCTGTTAGGTTTTAATTAATCAACCACCTCCAGTATGAAGCTTCCCCATTGGGTTTCCAAGCCATCTGGCAAAGCTAAATCTTGAGGCTCTTTTGAAACCTCAGGAGAGTGGGAGCCAATCTCATCTCAGGGGGTAAGATGTTCCAGAGGGCAGGAGCCATGGTAGAGAAGGCTCTTCTACTGGAGCCCACTAGCCAACATTCCTTGGTTGATGGGATCCACAGATTCCCCCCTCTGCTGGTGTGGGTGATGCAGGCCAATCCCATCAGGGTGAGACAGTTCCTCAAGTAGCCTGGACCCATGCCATGCAGGGCTTTAAAGGTGATGACCAGCACCTTGAATTGCATCCAGAACCAGACTGGCAACCAGTGCAGCTCGCACTGGTGTACTCTGCACCAGTTGTAGCTTCTGAATGCTCTTCAAGGATAGCCCCATATAGAGCACATTGGAATAGTCCAAACATGAGATGACTAGGGCTTGAGTGACTGAGCGGAGGGACTCCTGATCTATGAAAGGCCAAAACTGCCACACAAAATGAAGACGGGCAAAGGGTCTCCTGGCTGTGACTGCCACCGGTTTTTCGAGCAGGAGTTGCAAGTCTAGTAGAACCCCCAAGTTGTAGACCAGATCTATCTGGGATAGTCCAACCAGAAATAAATTAGTCCCAGATCTTGGAGCTCCATGCACCCATAGTCACTCAGTCTTGCCAGGGTTCAGCAGAAGCCTGTTGTCCAGGCCCCCACAGCCTCCAGGCATCATGAGACGGCAGCCGTAGCATCACTGGGTAATTGGGATGGAGATATAGAGCTAAGTGGTGGTGGTGAGGGATGATCTCACCCAGTGACTTCATGTAGATGTTAAAGAGGAGAGGAGAGTGTAGAGTGAGGGCTGGACCTTTCACTCCTTATTCAAGGACCAGCCTTGAAGAAAGGAGTTGTTTCTATCCTATAACTGTAACTGAATCCTAACAGAAAGGGGTACAGATAATCCACTTCATCCAGGATCCTGTGAAGCTGCCAGACCACTACCTTTTCCACAATATTCCCTAAAAAGGGAAGATTGGAAACTGGACAGAAGTTGTCCAGGCAGATCGGATCAAGCAATGGCTTTTTGAGGAGGGGACGAAACAGGGCCTCCTTAAAAGGTCCAGGAAATGTCCCCTCCTGAAGTAATATATTAATCAATGCTTGAACCCAACTGCTAATCAGTGTCCTGGAGGCTTTCACCATCCAGGAGAGACAAGGATCTAACTGGCAGGTGTTATCACTGACAGCATCGAGGATCCTGTCCACTTCATCATGATCAACAGAATAAAACTGTACCCAGATCATTGGGCAAGATCCCTCCCCTGGCATCTCATAAGGATCTGCCTCACATGGGTCTCAAACTGAGAATGAATCCAAATGACTTTGTCCATCAGGTGTTGAACAAATTTCTCTGCATGGCTCTGAAGATGATCACATGAGTCCTCCCATCCCAGGAGGGATTGCATAATCTGGAACAGGGCCACTGAGCGACACTATGTGAACATAATAGGAACAGAGAAATAATGCTCTTTTGCCATTCTTGCTGCCACAAGATAGGCCTGGATAGTGACTCTAAGTTGTGTCTGGTCGGCATCATCCTTCATTATCTTCCAACAATGCTCTAGGCATCTCTTAACCCTTTTCAAAACCCACACCTCCTCCATGAACCACAGGAAGAGTCAGGGATGATGGGTGAAGAGAGGTCGCATAGAAGCGACCTCTGTCCAAAGCCCTGGTGGCCTGTCGGTTTCAGGCCACAACCAAGGCTTCGACAGGGCCATGAAGTCGAGCCCCTAGGATAGTCCTCAGTTCTCTCTGAAACCCAATTGGGTCCATCAGTCACTAGGGATGAACTATACAGATAGGCCTAGCTCGGGGGGTGAAATCCAGCAGGTTCTGACAGGTTCTGGAGAACCGGTAGTGGAAATTTTGAGCAGTTCGGAGAACCAGTAGTGGAAATTTTGAGTAGTTCGGAAAACCGGCAAATACCTCTGGCTGGTCCCAGAGTGGGGTGGGAGTGGAGATTTTGCAATATCCTTCCCCCAGGAGTGGGGAGGGAATGGGGATTTTGCAACATTCTTCCCCTGGAATGGGGTGGGAATGGAGATTTTGCAGAATCCTTCCCCCACCATGCCCACCAAGCCACGCCCACAGAACCTGCATTAAAAAAAATGGATTTCAACACTGGCCTAGCCTCCCTGCAGAGGAGGGAGTGGGGGGTGATGTTAAGGCCTAGTATTGTTCAATATCTTCCTAACAGCAGGTGAAGCTAAGCAGAATCACATCAGACACCTGTACAATTAGCACAAGGGCTCCACAAGGCTCTGTGCTCTCTCCACTTCTCTTCTCTCTATATACCAATGACTGAATCTCAAATGATCCATCTGTTAAACTACTAAAGTTCACAGATGACACAACAGTGATCGGTCTCATTCAAGACAATGATGAATCTGCATACAGATAGGAGGTTGAACAACTAGCCTTGTGGTCCGACCGGAACAATCTGGAACTGAACACTCTCAAAACCGTAGAAATGGTGGTAGACTTTAGGAGAAACCCTCCCATACTACCACCACTTACAATACTAGACAACACAGTTTCAACAGTAGAGACCTTCACATTTCTAGGTTCTACCATATCTCACGACCTAAAGGGGACACCCAACATCAAAAACATCATCAAAAAAGCACAACAAAGAATGTTCTTTCTGCACCAACTCAGAAAGCTCAAACTGCCCAAGGAGCTGCTGATCCAGTTCTACAGAGGAATTACTGAGTCTGTCATCTGCATCTCTATAACTGTCTGGTTTGGTTCTGTAACCCAACAAGACAGACACAGACTTCAGAGGATAATTAGAACTGCAGAAACAACAATTACTACCAACCTGCCTTCCACTGAGGACCTGTATACTGCAAGAGTCAAAAAGAGGGCTGTGAAAATATTTACAGATCCCTTGCATCCTGGACATAAACTGTTTCAACTCCTACCCTCAAAACGATGCTATAGAGCACTGCACACCAGAACAACTAGACGCAAGAACAGTTTTTTCACGCCATCACTCTGCTAAACAAATAATTCCCTCAACACTGTCAAACTAGTTACCAAGTCTGCATTACTATTAATCTTCTCATCGTTCCTATCACCCATCTCCTCCCACTTATGACTGTATGACCATAATCTTGTTGCTGGTATCCTTAAGATTTATATTTTTCCCTATGACTATTATATATTTTCCTATGACTATCATTAAGTGTTGTACCTTATGATTCTTGACAAATGTATCTTTTCTTTTATGTACACTGAGAGAATATGCACCAAGACAAATTCCTTGTGTGTCCAATCACACTTGGCCAATAAAAGAATTCTATTCTATTCTATTCTATTCTATTCTATTCTATTCATTCTATTCTATTCTATTCTATTCTATTCTATTCTATTCTATTCTATTCTATTCTATGATTTAGACTAGAAGACAGAAAGGAAACTCATCAAATTTGCAGACGACACCAAGCTGGCAGGACTAGCCAATACTCCAAAAGATAGGTTCAAGATACAGGAGTTTGATCGACTTAAACACTAGCCCCTATCTAACAAAATGAAATTCAATGTAGAGAAAAGGAAGGTTTTACAAGTGTACAGATATAGAACAGGTGGTATCTGGCTCAATAGTAGTAACTGTGAGAGGGATTTTGGGAATCTTAGTGGCCAATCACTTAAGCATCAGCCAGCAATGTGCTGCAGCTACCAAAAAAGTCAACACAATCCTAGTCTGCCTTAAGAGGGAAAGAATCAAGATCATGTAAAGTGTTTCTAATGCCTTGGTAAGACCACACTTAGAATATTACATCCCGTTTCTGTTGAGACTCTAGAAAGGACAGAGAAGAGGAACAAAGATGATTAGAGGATTGGAGAATAAAACGCATGAAGAATGGTTGCAGGAATTTGGTCTAGTTTAGTTTAATGAAAAGAAGGACTAGGAGTGATATGATAGAATTCCAATATCCAAGGTCCTGCCACAAAGAAGAGGGGGTCAACCTATCTTCCAAAGCATCTGATGGCAGGAGAAGAAGCAATGGAAACTAATCAAGGAGAGAACTAACCTAGAATTAAAGAGAAATTTCCTGACGGTTAGTACAATTAATCAGTAGAATGACTTGCCTCCAGAAGTTGTGGGTGCTCCAACACAAGGTATTTACCATATTTTTTGGACTATAAGACACACCAAGATTTTGAAGTAGTAAGAAAGTAAGTAAGAAAAAAAAGGTTTTTGCCCTCATCAGCCTCCAGGAGCACTCTGCAGGCTTCCCAAACCCTCTGCGTGCCCCGTTATTCGCAAAAACAGACCCGTTTTTCACCCATTTTTGTGAGGAAAAAAATGGGCAAAAAAACGGGCCCATTTTTGTGAAAAATGGGGTGTGTGGAGGGTTTGGGTGGCCTGCAGAGTGCTCCTGGGGGAGGGCGAAAGCGCCCCCGTTTTTGTGAAAAACAGGCCCATTTTTCATAAAAGTGGGGGCGTTTTGTCCCTCCCCAACCCCCAGAAGTACTCTGCAGGCCTCCCAAACCCTCTGCACACCCTGTTTTTGCAAAAAACGGGCAGGGCGGGGCAGGGCTTCAGGCAGGGCTTCAGGGCTTCTGAAAAATGGCTGTATTCGGTGTATAAGACACACCAACATTTCCACCCTCTTTTGGGGGGGGGAAGTGCATTTTATACTCCAAAAAATATGGTAAGAAGAGATTGGATAACCATTTGTCTGAAATGCTGTAGAGTTTCCTGCTTGAGCAGGGGGTTGCACTGGAAGACCTCCAAGGTCCTGTCCAACTCTGTTATTCTGTTAAGTGCAGATTTGCAATTCATATATTTTCAAGAAGGGGAGGGGAAAGAGGAAAAACACAAACAGAAACAAGTGACAATTGTATGTTCAGTAGTTTAGAGCAGAAGTGGGTTCTACTTACCTTTACTACCTTTACTACCGGTTCACAACGGGGCCGTGTGCGCTCTCTCGTTTGCTCGCTCACGCTCTCTTCTGCACATGCGCAGAAGCTTCTGCACATGCGCAGAAGCAATTTGATGATGTCAGGGTCAGTGGGCGGAGCCTCGCGCTGGTTTTACTACTAGTTCTATAGAACCGGTGCGAACCAGGGGCAACCCACCACTGGTTTAGAGCTGGAGTAAAAGCAGGAAGGGACAAGTCATATATCTCTTGGCCAACAGATCTCCCAGATTTTGATGTTGAGGGAGCACTATTATAAATTACTGTGAAAGCAATAATTAAATATATATTTTATATAATGACTTACAGCATTAAGGCCACAAAGTTGATAGCAAGCCATGGTTACAACTACAGTGAGAATCTGCCACCGCTTAGTGTTGTCACAAAAAAGTTGAAATACAGATGCTACTTGAGTATTTCTCTGTACCCGACTCTCTTCCAGAACTTCTTCTATTTCATGTGACACGTCAGATTTTCCAAGGAACTTCTGAAATGCTGCAGGCCCACAATTCATACAATTTATACACAATTAATATTATTCACATGAAACTGTACTTTACACCAAATTGTACATCAATTACACATTTTACACATCAAATTGTAATTTACACCAAATATTTATCTTTTTATCTTTCAAAAACAGACCCTTCAGCAAAATATGTCAGTTTCATCAGTAATGTTTGGGTTTACTCAAATAAATAGCAAATAGTGATTCCACATTATTCAATAATAATTCCACAAATATTTACAAGTTTCATTTCAGGGCCAACATATTGCAATTTTGTAAATTCTAAATCTGCTGCTTTTGTTCATGCATTTAAAATAACAGCCTATTGTAACTATTATTTACATATCTTATTTCCAATATATTTCTAAATATTTGTAACTGTACACATCTCATTCACATCTTTTTTCATTATTATGCAACAATATAACATGATTTTATATCTTTATTTGTTGGCAAAATCAGGTAATACAATAACTAATATGGTCTCTTGTAAGTAGAAATTTAGAAGCACAATGAAATCTAAACTGCAATTTGATATTTACTTCTCCTGGAATTAAGTTAAAGACATTTACTTCTAACTTGGATTTACAGTATGTCACAGATGTGAGTATCTCACATTTTGTAAATATTGAAGTATATCTTTTCATGTGACAACACTGAAGAAATGAAACTTGGCTACAATGTAAAGTAGTAAGTATACAGCTTGTATAACAGTGTAAATGTGATGTCCCCTCAAAATGACACAACACACAGCCATTACTGTCTAAACTGCTGGCAACAAAAGTGAGTACACGCCTAAGTGATAATGTCCAAATGGCGCCCAAGTAGCCGTTTTCCCTCTCTGGTGTCTTGTGACACGTTAGTGTTACAAGGTCTCAAGTGTGAAGGGGGAGCAGGGGTGTTAAATTTGGTGTTATCGCTCTCTCTCATACTGGTGACTGGAAGTTCAACATGGCAATGAACTCTCTGAGGATCTGAAAAAACGAATTGTTGCTCCACATAAAGATGGCTTAGGCTATAAGAAGATTGCCAAGACCCTGAAACTGAGCTGCAGCACAGTGGCCAAGACCATACAGTGGTTTAACAGGACAGGTTCCATTCAGAACAGGCCTCGCCATGGTCGACCGAAGAAGTTGAGTGCTGGTGCTCAGCGTCATATCCAGAGGTTGGCTTTGGGAAATATACATATGAGTGCTGCCAGAATTGTTGCAGAGGCTGAAGGGGTGGGGGTGGGGGTCAGTCTGTCAGTGCTCAGACCATATGCCGCATGCTGCATCAAATTGGTCTGCAGGGCTGTCGTCCCAGAAGGAAGCCTCTTCTAAAGATGATGCACAAGAAAGCCCGCAAACAGTTTGCGGCAGACAAGCAGACTTAAGACATGGATTCCTGGACCCACGTGCTGTGGTCTGATGAGACTAAGATAAACTTATTTGGTTCAAATGGTATCAAGCATATGTGGCGGCAATCAGGTAAGGAGTACAAAGACAAGTGTGCCTTGCCTACAGTCAAGCATGGTGGTGGGAATGTTATGGTCTGATGCTGCATGAATGCTGCCGGTACTGGGGAGCTACACTTCATTGAGGGAACCATGAATGCCAACATGTACTGTGACATACTGAAGCAGAGCATGATCCCCTTCCTTCAGCGACTGGGGTGGCAGTATTCTAACATGATAACGACCCCAAACACACCTCCGAAATGACCACGGCCTTGCTAAAGAAACTGAGGGTAAAGGTGGTGGACTGGCCAAGCATGTCTCCAGACCTAAACCCTATTGAGCATCTGTGGGGCATCCTGAAACAGAAGGTGGAGGTGCGCAAGGTCTTTAAAATCCACCAGCTCTGTGACATCGTCATGGAGGTGTGGAAGAGGATCCCAGTGGCAACCTGTGAATCTCTGGTGAACTCTATGCCCAAGAGGGTTAAGGTGGTGCTGGAAAATAATGGTGGCCACACAAAATATTGACACTTTGGGTCCCATTTGGACATTATCACTTAGGGGTGTACTCACTTTTGTTACCAACAGTTTAGACATTAATAGCTGTGTGTTGTGTTATTTTGAGTCATTCTAGCTCTGACTTTAGACTTTACAAGATAAGGGACTCCAAAAGGTGCTTTTTTCAAGAGGCAACTGGACTTTCTGGTTTTTCTTTGAATATGTTTTGTTTCTCATCCAAGAAGTTTCTTTAACTCTAACTGGATGGTAGGGAATGGAAAGAGTATAAATACCTTTGGGTCCGTCTAGGGCCATGAAGGCGAACCTATGGCACGCATGCAAGAAATGGCACGCAGAGCCATCTCTCCGGGCACACGAGCCGTCGCCCGTTGCTCTTCTAGGTTCCAGTGCACCAGCCAGCTGGTCTTCACATGCGCGGGAGCACCGGAAACTGAAAGAGTTGCCACCTGGTGCACATAGACGCGCCGGGAAGATGATCTTCCGGTTTCTGGTGTGCACATGTGCACCGGCCAGTAGGTCTTTGTGTGCACATGCGTACCAGAAATGGAAAGATCAGGTGGCTGGTGCGCATGTGCATGCCGGAAATCAGAAGACCGTCTTCCCGGCACACCATGCACATCAGGCAGCTGGTCTTCCAGTTTCTGGCACGCACGCATGTGCTCCCATTTCAGCACTCAGTGCCGAAAAGGTTCACCAACACTGGTCTAGTACCTTTAGGCTCCTACCATTGGCCATGCCTCCTTCGCCTCCAGCCACCCACCTCTGCCCATTCACAGCCAGCTTTCCTCCTCCACTGCCCCCCCGGCCATTCTCCACTGTTAATGGGCCCAGTGGTGGGATTCAGTCATTTCGATCCAGTTCAATAGAACCAGTAGCAATTTTTTTGCTGAGTTCGGCGAACCAGTTAGACGTGTTCTGGAAAATCGGTGTTTTCCAGAACACATCTTGTTTTCGTTCAATTTCCTTCCAGGCAAGGGAAAAAAAAACTCTTCCCAAAAGTCCAAGAGAGAAGTGACAGAAACCTTTGATCATGTCACTCAGGTGAAAACTGTCTTACTTTCCAACAGGCGATGGGGACGGGGCTTGCACATAAGGTGGCAGCTCCCCTCTCCCCCATTTGCATTTCACTGAGAGCTCTGCATTTTTACTTCTGCAATGGTGTGTGCTTACAGGTGGGATGGTGTGTTCTTAAGGAAGTGTGAGTATCCCAGGCAGTGGTTCAATGAGAGGGGAAGTCTAGAGCCCCATTGCTTCTCCTGTTCTGGGAGGATCTGTACACTGGTATAAGGGTTCATGAATTGGAATAGACATGGTAACAGGTCAGCCAATGAAGACTGCTTGGTGACCCAGATGGCTCAGAGCCTGGGCGTGGCTTAGGTTCAGTGATCTGTATATATATGAGTGCTTCTGTGATTATTGATTCTGTAGTTCTGGATTCTGAGTTTTGGTTCTGGTTTCTGCTGCATGGGTATTGTATATAAAGAAGTTTCTTATATAAATGAATCCTGCTGAATTATTTACTTGCATGCTGGTTGGATTGCTGCAAACTCTAACAGGATCCTGTGTTGAGAAGCTGAGTATTTACCATCATGCCCATCGCTGCCTCTCCCCAGAATCCCAGGCAGTGATTCTCTGGGAAAGGAAATCCCGAGTGCCTCTACAGTAATGGCCCCACCCACTAGAAGTCCCCCTGCAATTGTATCTCTTGTAAATGCCCCCATGGCAAAGATCCAGCTGCTCCCAAGCTCCCACCCAGCACCTCAGAGATCCCTGCCACCAGACACCACACCCAGCCTCTCAGCCTTCCTTCCTTCCTTCCTTCCTTCCTTCCTTCCTTCCTTCCTTCCTTTCCTTTCCTTTCCTTCCTTCCTTCCTTCCTGTCAACACATCTAAGAGGTGCCAAGACTGAGAAACACTGAAAAAGAAATGTGGACACAAGAGAAGCTTAGATGAAAAATTATTATTGTCCCAAATTGCCATGGTGGCTGACCAGGGCAAACCCCCCTGGCACTGAACCATTTCCACACAGTTATAATTCTGAATTATTTTCCACAGTTGTCTTTGGACTAAGGGAGGTTTGGCAAATGCCTTGTAGAGGATTAAAAATGCAAATGGGGGTGAGGGGAGAAAAACAGGGGAAGGGAGATCTTTTACTTAATTCAATTATACTCGTTCATAACCAGTTTCCAGAGGTTGTTGGGAGGAGTGATACTTTTCTGCAAGTAGAGGGTCATGGTAAAGATTCCCAGTTTTCATTTAGATTGCCCTCCCCCACATGTGCAGAGCAGGAAGAGTAAAGTGGAGCTGAGAGGAGGAGGAGTCAGCCAGGCGCAGCTCTTAGGGATGATGGGCAACCAGTTGCATTCCAAGCAAAGAATGGAAATTGTGTGCAGGAGGGGCATATGTGCTTAAATGTGTTAAACCAATGCAATGTTCACAGAATATTACCAGCGTATGTGTGAATATGGAGGCTCTTTTCCCCTTCCGCCTGTTATAATGCCAGAAGCCGCACCGGCCTTGCCTCCCCCCTTTCGTTGGAGCTGACTGAGTTACAAGCCAAGCTGTCTCTGCGAAATCCCCTAGAGGTGCCCCTCCCTCCCTTCCTGGTCTACCCCAACACACTTTTGACTGTCTGCCCCCCCCCCACCCAGTGGCAGTTATTCTTCTCCCCTCCACTCCCCCGCCCCTTGGGTCCTGGTGACAGATCTACGCTACCCCAATTGCGGGATGCTTTTGTGCTGCAGCTTTACTATTTTCAATACTTTCCCCTTTAAGAAAAACTTGCAGAGCAGCTGCAGCACTTTAAAAAAAATCTTGCATTGCACGCTGCTCCCCTCCCCCCCCCCAGTCCCTGCAATTGCCAATTCCACACTAACCTCACAGCACCATTGCTTCTGCCTGCCATCCAACTGGCTGGGGGCTATTTATTCTGTGCAGCCAAAGGCCTGGATCAAACAATATTTGAGCAAATGAGCCAGGCCAAAGGGCAAGGGATGGGGGGCCAGGAGCCCATTGGCTGTGGAGAATGGTTGGAGAAGGATGGCCAGCAGAAGAGGAAAGCTGGCTGTGAATGGGCTGAGGTGGGTGGCTGGAGGCAAAGGAGGCATGGCCAAGGGTCCGTGCCTAAACGTCTCATTCCGCCTTTGGGACAACCATGACCTGGATGACTGAGAATCTCCATAGACAAAGATAAGGGACTGTTTCCAACAGGAGAGAATGTGCAAAAATCCTATAATGCAATGATCATCTCATTTTCCTTTAAGCAGACCAAGAGTAATTTTTAAGCATGGCATTGCTGTTTTGTTGTTGATATTGTTATCAAACCTAAAAGATTGGAGAACCACCCTACGGACCAGATATCAGCATATAGTGCTCCTGAAGAATAATATTGCATTTGTGCTTATGATTTTTGCTTTTAAACCAGATGAACAATAGGATCAATTGAGATAAAATATGAATGTGGCAGTACCTTTTTCTGCTGCTTTTGTGTCATTTTTTTCAAGTAAGAGGAAGCGAGGACTTTCTGGAAGAAAAGGCAGGATTCCAATTTGGAGAGTTGATGGAACAATAATCATTGCAAACAGATAAGGCCACAGGAACTCCTGTAATCAGTCAAGAAAATTAGTATTGGTGTTGCTGCATTTCATGTAAAAATGTGATACTAAAAACATGGGCAAAATTCACAGTTCAGTAACAGAACAGATGCTCTATACTTAGGCAGAAGAATGCCAATTATGTAACCTAACAATAAGTATTTTAATTGTGAATGTCAACACCACCAATAAGTGTAAAGTTAGGAATGCAGATGAGTGTAGTTTCTATCCTTATATTCTCTCTTAAAAATTGACAGTAAAAAGATGTTTTTAAAAATTTTAAAAACTCATGTCTTATCAAAAAATCTCCAGCAAAAGTGAACAAAAGTTGTACAGCTTCTACTTATTTACACAAGACTGTAAATAAATCTTATTATTTGATATTATAGTAAAGAATATCTGGATATCATTTATCTGTTTATAATTAATGGGCTTTCAATCTCAATTTACACAGAGTGCAAAAATGAATAAACAATTCAGAATTATTACAGACCTTTCCAAATATCTCAGGTAGCCCCAAAATCTGTCCACTGAAAACACCAATACAGATGAAAATTGCTGTAATTTGTCCTAGTGACCCACGGATCTGCTTGGGAGAAATTTCACTCAAATACATTGGGAGTACACTCAGAGATACCCCTGTGAAAAAGAAAAAAATGGTAAAGAACATTTTTTTTAATAAAAAAGAAAAATTGTAGGCAGGCAGGCAGACATGGAAGAGAATATTTGCAGCCCTATGGAAGAGAATATTTGCAGCTCAGGGTCAAACTATGGCATTCTTGGTGCTCTTGACCTTGGTTGTTTTCTTGTAGATGTTTCATTACCAAACTAGGTAACATCATCATTGTTAGAGGGAGTGAGGTTTGCTCTCATTATATATGCTAGTGGCTTATCCTGTCAGTGTTGTTGGGAGTGGTTCCTTGATTGGGGTATTGTTTATTTCTTGATTGTTGGTCTATTGTTAATCTTGGTATTAACCTCTGCTCATCTGGGTGTTGCTGCAGGTGAGGAAATGTTTTGGTCTTTTGGATTGTCTCTTTTGAATAGTATGTAAATGTTGAATAGTATATTCCTGTTGATGGCTGCTTTGTGTCAGTGCCTGGCTTCCAGGAATTCTCCAGCTTGGTTAGGATGCTCAGTTTCCCAATTGAAATTATGGTTAAGTCCATGTATTGTGAAATTAAGGAGTGTTCATGTATTCTGACTACTAATTGGTATTCATGGATCCACTCTGCTAGTCCTCTTATCTTGTTTGTCCTACATAATGGCTGCTACAGTCCTTACACTATTGTAGATGACTGTTTTTTCTTCTGAAGTTGCTGGGTCTTTTGGTTTTCTTAGACTGCTTTGGAGGACTTTGATTGGTTTGTGTGGTACTATGATATCATGTGGTTGTAATTGTCTATTAGTGCCTTCTGATATGTTTTTGATGTATGGCAGTGTTATGCTTTCAAAGCTTGTGCTGGTTGTGCTATATTGGGTTGAGTGGTCAAGCACTTTTTGATAAAGTTGCATGTGTGTATCCATTTTGTCAGAAGATGTTGTATTGATTATCTGTTTCCTTTTTTCTGATGTTCAGAACTGCTGCAGTGTGTTTGTGCTCATTAAATAGTGTTCTTACATAGCTTCTCTTGTGGAAGGTTGGGTTGTTACTTTGCAAGGTTGGTATGGGCAGTTTTACAATAGACTTGTGTTTCTAATTTGTCATCATTGCCTCTACTGATGAAAACATTGAGGAAAAGTAGCAGGTTGTGAGGTTTTTTTTGTTCTGTTTTGAATTTTATTCCTTTGAAGATTGTGGATAGTTCAATGCAAAAACGTCTGCAACAGAACAACCAAGCTCAGAGAGCATCAAGGACTCCATAGACAGATCTCTATTTATTCTTGAACCATCCTGAGCTGAGTTTTAAACTGGATAGTTTAGTTTAAGGTTCAAATTGGAACTTTTTTCAATGTTGTTTAAGAATGAATTATGGATTATCATGCAAAAGCAGGGAACATATAAAATAGCTATTCAATATTCCAAAGACAGTCATTCTAGATTCAGTTTCAAATTTCAAGTATCTTCTGATTTTCCATTAATGAACTACCATATAACAGAAAAACTGATGTATATTTAAACTTTTTAAAAATACTTTTTACTGAAGTTTTTCAACAGAATTAAAAACAGCACAAATTTTGAATTAAACATCAATAAAGAAAAGAAATAAGTGAAAAAGAAATAGAAAAAGAAAAAAAAAGAAGAGGAGAAAGATTCTAAAGAAATGGTTTGGATCTTGTTGACAGTGATTTTAGATAAATATTTTAGCCTTTTCCCTCCAAGGAGGTTTCCAGCCACCAATAAATCAAATTAGTGATTAGTCTCTAGATTAGTCTCTAATCTAATTGTTCTACCTTTGCTCATTCTGTCATCTTCATCATCCAATCGTCCAATGTAGGCATTTCAGAGTCTTTCCATTTTTTGTGCACATAATAGTAATCAAAGCAGTATAAAAATAATCTTCTATATATAAAAATAATCTTTCATGGCTCTTTTCTAATTGACTACAATTTCAGCAAGAAAAGTTCTGGTTTCAGTTGAATGTTGATCTCCAAATTTTTTTGTATCATAATATATGTATTTGAATCCAAATATTCTGATTTTTTTTTTACCAGGCATGATAAAATGACCTTTCATTCTGTCCATATTTGCAATATAAATTGGAAGAATTATTAGATTCTTGTGCCAGTGCCTGGAGGCTGGGAGTCAACAGGCTCAGTCTTAACCCAGACAAGACCGAGTGGCTGTGGATATTGCCTCCTAAAGACTATGTCAATTGTCCATCCTTGGTTCTGGGGGGGGGGGAAGAGAAATTGTCCCCCTCAGAACGGGCTCGCAATTTGGGTGTCCTCCTAGACTCACAGCTAAGATTAGAGTAACATCTGACAGCTGTGGCTAGGGGGACCTTTGCACAGGTTCGCCTGGTGCACCAATTGCGACCCTACTTGGATCGGGAGGCTCTCCTCACAATCACTCATGCCCTTGTCACCTCACGGTTAGATTATTGCAATACGCTCTACATGGGGCTACCCTTGAAAAGTGTTCAGAGATTACAGTTGGTCCAGAACGCAGCCGCGCGAGCTGTTGTGGGTGCACCTAGTTACACCCACATTACACCAATTCTCCGCAAGCTGCACAGGCTCCCTATTGGTCTCCGGTCACAATTCAAGGTGTTGGTTATTACCTTTAAAGCCCTACATGGCTCAGGGCCAGGTTATCTTTGAGACCGCCTTCTGCCGCATAGCTCCCAGCGACCGGTAAGATCCCACAGAGTTGGTCTCCTCCGGGTCCCGTCAGCTAAACAATGCCGGCTGGCGGGCCCGCGGGGGAGGGCCTTCTCTGTGGCTGCCCCAGCTCTCTGGAACCAGTTATCTCCTGAGGTCCGGACCATCCCCACCCTATTGGTCTTCCGAAAAGCGGTGAAGACCTGGCTTTTCCGGCAGGCCTGGGGCCGTTGATCTCGCTCTTGTGATCTGGCGAGATCCGGCCATGAATGGTGTGAATGAGTTTTTAATGTTTTTAATTTTTCAATGTTTTTTTTATAATGATTTTTTAAAAAGTATTGTGAGCCGCCCTGAGTCTTCGGAGGGGGGCGGCATATAAATTTAATTAATAAATTAAATTAAATTAGATTCTAGAGAATTTTTCTGGAATCATATGCTAATAATACATCATTTTAAAAAAATCTTTTCTAAATTATAACAATGTAAATTTAATTCCCTTTAACCACATATTTCCCACTATTTCAGCATACGTTATGTTTAAAGTTCTTAGCCCATTTATTTTTAACATTTGTTTTAATAAACTGGCTGTTGTAATTTGTTTTTTCCTGCTTTTGTTTCCATAAAATAAATTTGTTTTTAGACCAGTTAGCTAATTAAAATAGTTCACAAAACATCCTTGTATATCTACTGTATTCCTGATGGAGATTAAGCAACAGTGAGGCATAACGAAGTGGGATAACTTGCATGATCTCTTGGCTTTTCTAGGATGTGTAACTGGGCAACTGAGGACTGGTTTGGCAGATGTTCAATCTAATCTGTCCCCCCCCCCCCAGTTTTCTGGTGAAGCACTGTAATGGCCTATCAGCAGTCTTCTGAAAGCTGGCTGTGGACCTGAATTCCCCAGAGGGCTTCAATTTGGATCAAAATGGATTTTACCTGTCCATTCCACTTCAAATAAATGGAGTTTTGTTCTGAATTATTTCCTGGAATAATCTTTCAACTACATTTGATGCACAGCTGAAGCTACTGCAAAAATAGTTCATATTTTTCCCAAATACCTTAGAAAATAACAGAATAATAGAGTTGGGAGGGACCTAGGAAGTCTTCTAGTCCAACTCCCTGCTCAGGCAGGAAACCCTATATTATTTCAGACAAATGGTTGTCCAATCTCTTGTTAAAAACTTCCAGGGTTGGAGCAGTCACAATTTCTGGAGACAAGTCGTTCCACTATTTAATTGTTCTGTCAGGAAATTTCTCCTTACTTCTAGGTTGCTTCTCTCCTTAACTATGAGAAAGTGTATGTTAACATGAAGATCCATTAGAAGAACCATACAAGGATGTTTTACTTTCAAGCATATAATTAAATATAGGCCATTAAGGGGAATGCTGTTGATGAGAATTTTCCTTCCTTTGTGTTCCCTAACACCAAAAGACCACACCTATACTGCAGGGAGACAAAAGGCACAGAGTGTGGGTATTGGTGGAAGAGAGAAAGAAGACTATTGGAGAACTAAAGTAATGATTTGTACTATATGTGGAGGAGGTAAAACTAAAGCAGATGATGAAGTAAGCAAAGAGACTCGGAAGCTACTACAGTTGAAAAAGGAATAAAGTCTTACAAGGCTTCCAAAGATGGAGACTAGCTACAGCCACAATAAGTAATTATTTTCTCCCTCTTCTAAGATGGTAAGGACTGAGAGGCAGAGAAACAACTCAAAGGGAGCAGTGATCAGGCTACTTCAACCTCCAGCATAACCTACTAAAGTACAAGGGCTGGAAATAGAGGATAATATAGGTAGGCCTTGAATTACAACCACCAGTCCAGCAACCAATTAAAGTTATGATGATGCTAAACAAGATGGACTTACAATTGTTCACCATTACAATATTACACTGAGCTGCAGTTATGTGATCACAATTTCCAACATTCCTTGCCAGCTTTCGATAAGCAATTTCAAGTCTCTCCTGCCCCTTTTGTGCTCCAGAGTGCCTGCCCAAAGCACCCCTCCCACCTGCTGAGTTCCTTGCCTGGGACTCCTGCCTCTTCCTGGGTTATAATGGCAACTGGGGTTGCTTGCTGGAAATGCTGATGCTAAGCGGTGTGGTCATGTAACTTGAGGACTAGCAGTGTACAGCTAAATGTAAGGTAAAAAGATCCACATTCTCAGTCCTTAAAGGGAAAAACCGAGAAAGCATTGTCGCAATACTAGGAAAGCCGGGCAGTCAAGAACATAGGCAAAAAAAAAAAGAGGAAAATTGTAACTTGGTTAAGGATTATCACTTTGTCAACATATTTTTGGTCAAAATCTTTGTTTTATCTTTATTAATTTTCAAACCAGATGCTTTCCCAAACTCTCCAATATTCTCTATCAATG